TTGGAGATTTGGGTTGTTTCAGCTAGCATCCATAACTCCATTTCCACTTGTCCCCTGTTATATCACCATCCACTTTATTTCACCCTCAGTGGGATCCCATTTCTTCCCAGTATCAGTCAGAGGTGACTCAGGTTTTACTTCTCCAGGGTGCCTTCTGTGAGGAGATAATTCTTGTTAGGGGTTTTCACTCCTGTCTTGTGGAGGGCATAGTTATATGTATTGGATACATGTCTCCATATTCCCGTTTCCCGAGCATTCAGACATTTTTCTTTATTTTGTTTTTCATGGTGTATGTTTTCAGTTTAGGGTGTTTTTGTTTGGCCTTGCCTTGGCTCCCTCTATTTTCAGCCGAGCGATCTAGACCTTTGCTCGTCTGCTTCTTAGTCTGAGCTCAGTGTACAATTTTCCAGGGATGGCTGGATACTTGTAGCTTTCTTGCTGACCATATCTACTCTCCATACTCAATTTCTTCTTTGGGGACATTGACTGTGTGAGTTGGCTCATCACAGTGGTGATTTCGTACATCACATCTGATCAATTTCTAGTTTCCTTGGTGTGTTTTTCATCACAATTTTTAGTTCTTGATTGGGACCAACCTTCTCCCCTTTGGTTTAGAGATCTGGTACATCCTTTTGGCAGATTCTCATCTTCTCCCTTTCTTTATTGCATGTGCAGTTCTCTCTCGTTGAGGACATAAGCTTCTCTTGCATCCCTTGTTCCTGTTGGTTGTACCAACATGCACCATCCTCTGTTGTTATTTGGATTCCCAGATACTGTATTGTTTGGGATCACTTGGATACTCCTTTTACCTTTTTTTTTACACTAGCAGTCTGTAATGACTGTTGGATAGGATCTCAATTGCTGCTAGGGTTCCTCCTCTTTCTCCTCATCCAGATTGTCCCTTTTTCTGGATACTTTTTCTTTTGACACTTGGAAGATTTGGGGTGGGGAACTATTTTTCAATTCTACTCTTCTTATCACTCTCTTGACACTTCTTGTTGTTTGTCAGACAGTACGTTCCTTCCTAATGGTTCTTTTTGACAAGATGATGATGTTTCACTTCAACAATTGTATGATAAGGTCCTCCATCACCATGCATGGGGAAATCTGGCCAAGTGTCCTTTGTTTTCGAACTTTGGATTTTTGTATTTTGGGATCACTTTCATTATATTGATTAGTGGGCATTTTTGTCTTCTGAAGACCATGAAGCTGGTCACCAATTAGTTGTCCTGTCCTGACAGGGTAGGCTTTGGATCTTCTAGTTTTTCAGGTGTAGTATGTGCTTTGGGGTGTCCCCAGTTTGGAAATTTTTGCATCTCATCTCGATACACACCTTTTACGTTTTTGGTCTCCTGTTCCTCATTCCTTGTTGAGTGTAGTAGATGCTCTCTGTTCCCATTATACATGTCTACCTATTCGTCTCCATCCTCATGTCCTATAAATAATTCTGATCTCTCCATGTTGAGTTGGGCAGGTGGCACCATCCTGGTTGACTCTCACATGGTTTCCATTTCTGTAATGGTTTTTGATGTTGCCTCCCCTTTATTTTCTTTATTGGAAAATCTCCAGTGTGTGACATTCATACATTCTGTCTTCACTCGAGGTTTTTATCTTGTCCCTCGCCAAAACGTCGGTCTTTCCAGGCATATCGCATCCTTAGTTTTCCATCTAGTTCGTTCTTCCTCTTTGATGTTTTCCCAGAGGAGTTGATATACATCACACTGTTGATCTATACACCTAGGATGTCATCTTTTCATTACTCTCATTCTTCATGCCATCTTTTTTCTCTTAGCCTTCTAACAGGGAACTATGTGTTTTTCCTGTTGCAGGCTTTTGGGCAGATTTTGTCTTCCATTTTCTTCTTCCTTGATTTGATTCTGTGTTACATTCTAGTTTCTTGACTTTGTTATTTCATTAATTCTCCATTGCCCATACTCACTGCTTCACTTTCCTTCAGGATTTGGAACCCCCATATTGGCCTTCATGCTTTTTATAATCCTCCATTTTCACCTTTGTTGGAAGATTCGTGATTTGATTCTGTTTGCTGTCGCTGTTCCTCATACTGTTGGCCTGTGGTTACCGTTTTCTGACGTGTTTTCCTGATTAGGTTTCACTATGTTTTTACCTTAGTTCCTGTCATTTCTTTTCTGCTCTGAAGTTTATGTTTTCACTCCTCTTTCCATTCCATTCTTTTCCCACCTTTAGATCTATTCTCCTCCTGTCCAATTCCTTTGCCTGGCCAGGTCCCTTGGATTTATAACACATGCACTCTGTTCTTCAGTAGTACCTAAATCAGCTTGTATCTTCATTATTGGAATTCTAACATTACCCGTGATCCCCCCCCCTCCACTTTCCCTACGAGTTGGATTCGCCAGTCACTTTGCGTGGCATATTCTTCCTTTTCTCTGGATGTTTGTCGTATTTCTTCACGTCAGACCTGTCACCTTACCATGTCCCTGTCTGATTTTTTTCTGTCTTCCCTGAGAGGAAATCTTCAGGGTGGGTATGTGGGCTACCCCGTTTTTTTCTTTTTCATTTCTTTACAGGGGCCTTTTGCTGCACATATCTTGCATCCCACAGTGTGGCGAGTGGTGTGTGGTGAAGGTATACTCAGTATGAAATCTGCACTGTACGTCCTGTGACCATGCTAGATTACTATAACATTGAGGCACTTCCTGCTGCATACCTGATGTACAATTCCAGATGCTGCTAGGTGTTAATTGTTTGACTCCATCCAATATCACATACTTCAAACAATATGACACATCACAGGGTCATATTATGCACACCGTTGAGATGGGGTGTTCCATAGGACAAAGTGTAGATATATATTGTGTTATTTTGCTTCATAAATATGTTTGTTCTAGAATGTACACTTATGGACTTCATTGGTAAATCAGACAGAGATTACTGCCCAACTTTGATCCACAGCATTGAGTCTCTTCCTACCATGGATCTGATATACAATTCCAGATGCTGCCAGTTGTTGGTTGATTGACTCCATCCACGTGTTAGCTCTGCTTTTCAAAATAGGTATTCTGGTCTCCCATTGCAATGTCTCTGGTGCTGCAGGCCTCCAGACTCTACAATGCATGTTGCCTTTTTTTCTTTTAGTGGAATATTGGAGTCCTTACCACTTACCAGTTCCTAGTTGCTGGGGTGGGTGAATGCCTCTTGAGCTCTCCTTACTTCCTACCAACTGCTGTATGTAGGGTTTCTAGTGGATCCAGTGTTGGTTGTGTTAGAGATGTGCACATGAAGAAATGGGTTCTTGGTACAGAAGCTTGTCTTCCCTTCCAGTACCTGTTTTTGAGGTGAAAGGTAGAGGATCCTCTTCCTACTGCAGACGTGATGTACAATTCCAGATGCCACCAGGTGTTGGTTAAGGTAGAAATCTGTCACGTCCTAGCCACTCGACACCTCGAGGTCCCATTAATGATGAAAACATTTTGGGGTCCATCCATGTCTCGTTTTAGTGACATTTTACTCTAGGGTGAAGGGTATACCTGGCTCAGAAGTAGTGCAGTTCCCACTGGTGTGATGTATCTAATTCCTTTTCTATACCACATTGTTTTATTTTATAGAGGATCATCTTCTCACCAGCCCTCCACTAGTCCCATGTGGGATTCTATCTTTTTGTGAGAGGAAGTAAGATATCGTATCATAAATTAACATTTTCCTAAATAAAAATGTATTTCCGAATAGTTACATACCTCCTCTCACATTTCCCAGCCATCTTCCTCACTTCTGGTGTATTGGTTGACTTGGTCATGGCTAATCTCAAAGTGAATAACAGAGAGGGTGCTAGTTATGATAGGGGTAGTGTTGCACTCCTATTGGTGGAGGGTTGCTACATGTTCATTTGCATGTACATATGAAGAAACAGTGGGGGTTACAAGACTAATGGCGAGTAAAGAACTTGCGCTGATAGAGGGTAGCACTAATTGAGAAAGCTTTTTGTATCTATTCGGAAATACATTTTCACTGTAGGAAAATATTAACTTTTCTCTGATGTTACTCGGAATTCACCTTAAGTTTATAATATATATATATATATATAATTTGGTATAATGTGAATGTTTATTAAAATAATCAATTTTCTGGTCTTTAAGAAACTTAATCAACTATTTTGACAGGAAGTTTTTTTGTGCTACCATCAAAACTTGAGTAATGATTCTGACAGGAAGTTGTTTGTTTTTCTCTTTTTGTATGAACAAAAAATCGTGAGTCGATTGCTGTAGTAGCTGGTTCAGTACAATCATGACCAGAATCACTATCAATGATGTTTGAAGTTTTGTTTTTCATAGAAGAGTTCCCTATATGAGACTGTATTACAGCCATACTGAAAATGAGCAAAGACATCCCATTACTGAGAGCAATTCATGTGATTTCTTCCAGGTCACATGACCGTAAGCCTGTAAATTAACAGCCTGTGTGTACCACTTAATGATGAGATGCACTTAAAACAAACACATAAAAATGCTTCTTGGTTGTTAGGACGATGTAGACATTTATAGGAAATATTTATAGATCATTTTTACATTTATTACAGAAATAATGCAGTGGTGTAGCCTCGCAGGAACTTTAAGGAAATATGAATATTTGTTTAAAACACTTTTTGTCAAAGCCTGTTTTTTGGCTACTGTGTTGTAAAAGCTCATGTGTTTTACAAACATTTGGTTAAACTTCATCACTTAGCACTTAGTTTGTAATGATCATAATAATACGTTTTCAATGCCTTGGTTGTTTATCTTTGTTAACACAAGTTGTTAATCAAGTACTAACCTAACCAAACCTGCTAGATGTCTTCATAGTTTACTCCTTTCAACACAGGCTGTTTGTGTAGTTTTATGATATTCTCTTCTGGGATGTTACTAAATATCACACTTACTCTTAAAACAGATTATATCAATTCTTTGGTATCAATAGAACCATACATTTCCAAGGTTATTAAAAAACAGTTTCACTAGGATGGAATAATTTATAATTTTCTCCAATAGCCACAGCATTGGGGGTTGAGTTCTATTGAAGATGGATGTAAACCATGTGACTGTGATCTCGGAGGCTCTTATGATAATAACTGTGATGTTGTGACAGGCCATTGTCACTGTAGACCTCACTTAGATGGGCGTAGATGTGATCAACCCAAATCTGGATATTTTGTTGGTAACCTGGATTACATGACTTATGAAGCGGAGCTTGCTAAAGGTTGTTCAGTAAGTACTGATTTCTACACAGGAAGTAACTGCTTTCACATGAAGAATAACATTTAATAAGAATGCATAGTGCAACCACAGGTATAGTAAAGTAAGCAGTTCCTGTATTAGGGTTGACGAAGCAGGAAGTATCCCTGGGACCACAAATCACACCATAAATAAATGAAGATTTATTTTGATCGTATTTCAAAAATATTGTGATCATTATTTTAAAACAAAATCAGATGAACAACATGAAACAAAATGTTATGTGATCAGAACTACGAATGTAATTACTAGATATACATTTTAAGTATTGTCCTATGTAGGTAACTTGTTTTAATCTTTAGTCAAAATACCATACGTAAAATTGTGAATGGTAAAATTTATCACAGTGCTGTACTTTTAAATGTCCGTTATTTGTTAACATTCATTTCCTAAAATTAAAAAATATTAAGGTCAAATTTTAATCACTGAGGCAGGACGAACATAAATTTCAATTTGTCCCCAAATTCTTAATACCAACCCTGAAAGTGTTTAGTTACATATCACTGAAGAATGATATGCAGACAGTCACCTAACAATGTAGGGAACAATCACCAGTAAATTGTGTTGTACTGAAGAATCATATGTAAGCATTTACCTAACAATATAGGGTACAATCACCAGTAAATTGTTGTACTGAAGAATGATATGCAAACAGTTACCTAACAATGTGGGGAACAATCACCTTACAGTAAATTGTGTTATACTGAAGAATAATAATATGTAAGCATTTACCTAACAATATAGGGTACAATCACCAGCAAATTGTTGTACTGAAGAATGATATGCAAACAGTTACCTAACAATGTAGGGAACAATCACCTTACAGTAAATTGTGTTATACTGAAGAATAATAATATGTAAGCATTTACCTAACAATATAGGGTACAATCACCAGTAAATTGTTGTACTGAAGAATGATATGCAAACAGTTACCTAACAATGTAGGGAACAATCACCTTACAGTAAATTGTGTTATACTGAAGAATAATAATATGTAAGCATTTACCTAACAATATAGGGTACAATCACCAGCAAATTGTTGTACTGAAGAATGATATGCAGACAGTTACCTAACAATGTGGAAAACATTCTCCTTTTTGGAGACAGTATTTAAATTTAAACTTTTTATTAATATATATTGGAAATTATTTTGTAAATATTGTGTTGGTAATTTTTTAGAAACATGGTTACTCTTCTGCCTTATAGTAATAATACTTTTAATCAAATTCTAATGTGATGAGAAAAATATTTTTAATTTGTTATAGCACTGCCAAGTTGTGGTTCATGGACGAACTGGTGACAGAGAAACCACATGGACTGGATTAGGATTTATGAGAGTTTATGAAGGATCAGAGCTGGTGTTTGATATTACAGATGTTCCCGAATCTTTGGAATATGACATTGTCATCAGATATGAACCACAGGTAATGTAATGAAGGAGGATCTGAAAGTGGTCAGAATTTCAGTTTTCACCTCTTCATTATATTTTTACTTTTTTTTTAATGTTGTAATTTAACATCTGCTTTAAAGTGTTCTTAAACTGTACAAACATCTTTCAACATGTTTACTAAATTAACCCCGCCCAATTTCTCAAAAACCCTCACTGTACAAACTTCCAGTGGGTTTCTATATTACTTAGTAAAGTAATCATCAACAAACTGTTACAAACCCTCACTGTACAAATTTCTAGTGGGTTTCTATATTACTGAGTAAAATAATCCTCAACAGACTGTCACAAACCGTCACCTTTACAAACTTCCAGTGGGTTTCTATATTACTGAGTAAAGTGATCCTCATCAAACTGTCACACACCTTCACTGTACAAACATCCAGTGGGTTTCTATATTACTGAGTAAAGCGATCCTCATCAAACTGTCAGAAACCCTCACTGTACAAACATCCAGTGGGTTTCTATATTACTGAGTAAAGTGATCCTCATCAAACTGTCAGAAACCCTCACTGTACAAACTTCCAGTGGGTTTCTATATTACTGAGTAAAGTGATATGCAACAAAATTGCCTATGATGTTCATTCTAACTTCTTAAACCTGAGTGAATGCTATTAGTATACAGCCAAAATTCCCAATTTACCCATCAGATGGTGATACCAAATGTTCAACAGGGAGAGGTTTGAGGCTAATTGAAATTTTATAAGGTATGGTGATAATTATTAGGAAATCATGAAAATCATTCCAGCAGAATGTGTGAAAAATTATGGGTTTCAAGAGTTGAGGTGATCGGCAGAATTTTTTTTAATACAAGTGTTTAGAAACATAATTTTTGAAGTGTAACAATACTTCCTTTAAGGTTTCTAATGATAGGTTTTCTTATTGTCAAATTCTGTTCATAAAAGTGCATACATTTTGTCTAGCTACCTGGTAAATGGGAAGAAGCCAAAGTTTTGATCAAAAGGCCTGGAACAGTGGACTCTACAGGTCCTTGTGCCAATACCATTCCTCAGGATGACATAAAAACTGTGACATTATTATCCGGTAAGAAAGAAGATCTATTAATATTTTATTTTCAAACATTTTATGTTCTAAATTTAAAACCTTATTACAACAGGTTATGAAAGTTGTCATTTATTAATGACAGTGATTTGCTTGACTTGGTTTACATGCTGAGTATCTCTTCCCATTAATTGAGTCTTATTGCAGGTAGCATGGTGACATCCCACCAACCACACAGATGCACAATCATTTTAGATTTTTATTTTACTATAATTTATTATTGTGTATCTTCTTTTCAACACAAGTTACCCAATATAAATAAGATGATTTTAATATTATTACTTCTACTATTATTATACTGTTACGTCTCCGTTTGTTAATTGATTTTTCCGTAACTTTGTTCCGACGAAATTTTAACGACACAAGTCTTTACTTAATAAAACTGGTTTATTCTTTCCGAATACAACTTTACCGGTACACTCAACTTCAACAATCGCGCTAAACAACGCTATAACACGAACGTCAATAATACTCCTGACCGCAGATCAATTACTCACTATCTACACACACATTACCTTCCCCTCCGCGTCACGTTTTCCCCTCTTATATATACCAGCCTACCCTACTAGTAAATACTAGAGCATTCGCCAAAGTACATGATAATTCTAGAAACGTTGCATCACTGTAGTCATGTGACTCGCTGACGCAACACTGCCCCCTCCTTAATATTGTTCGTCCC